GCTGTTTCTCTCCCACATGCTTTGAAGCCCTGTGCCTGGAGGCAGGTGGGTGTCCTCCTTGCTCTCCACTGCCACTAAGCCATTATGCACTTTGCTCCCTAAAACCCCCTAGCTTTGCAGCTCACGCCATTGGTCTGGGCCACCTGCCACCCTGCCTTGCTGCACTCCCCCATAAATGCCCAGGTCGCTTCCCCACATTTCCTGAAGATTTAGCACCTGGCTTGTCATCACTCTCTCCAATACTACTCATGTTGTACTTCTTGCTGATTTCAATTCCCATATAGATGATCGTTCCTGTATCTCAGATCCTGTATCCTGACCTCCTCTCCTCCAATCACCAAACTCCCAGTTATTCCTATTCGTGGTCTTAGCTGTACCTGGATGTTCTCTATAAACTCAATTTCAAACAACCCATTCTCTACAGTTACCACCTGTTTTTCCAGCTCACTCTCTCTAGTTTATCAACTCCAACAATTCTTCAACTCCTCCAGGATCTATTATACAATCCACTGGTCCTATACCTTCGTCCTGTACCTATGTCTTTCACTCCTCTCACTTCCTCACTTCCTTATCAAACATAAATTCCACGACCAGTCACACTGTTTTATAACCTTCTCCTCCCTTGCTCCATATTTGCCTGCTGAAAACCCCAATCCTGGTAACATCCAACTCTCCACCTACATCCATGAAGCTAAATGTGACTAGAAAAAATAAAGCACCATGCTGACTGGTCTCACTTTAAACTCATGCTCACAGACTCAGGTAGGTCCTCAGTGCTGCCCAGCAGCCCTACTCCCTCTCTCTAGTCCGTTCTCTCTTCAAGGTGACTACTTCCTACCTTCTCCTGTCTCTTCGCACCTCCAAAACTTCCTCCCCCATCCTCACTCTCAGATGAGTCTTGCTTCTGATTTCACTGAAAAAAAACAGAAGCAATCAGAAGAGCATGTCCACCTCCATCTCCCACAACCCTCACTACTGCCCTGCTTACATCTGAACCCACATCCCTTGCCTTCCTTCTTGTCGATAAACCATCCCTCTCCTAGTTAAGGCCCATTCTCCCACTTGTGCATCGTATTACATTCTTTCTTCTATTCAAGGACATCACACCAGTAACTGTCTTCTTTTTCTGCTACATCATCAACTTTACCCTCTCTAGCAAATCATTTCATCAATAAATAAAAATGCTGTAATATCTCCTACTTTAAAAAACAAATTAAGAAAACCTTCCCTCAACCCCACATTTCCCTCTGGCTAAGGCCCCATTTTCTTCGTTCTACTTTACATCAATACTCCTCCAAAGCAACACCTCTGCCCTCTTTTCCCTCCTCTCATATTCTCTTAAGTTCACTGCAGTCAGGCTGCCATTGCCGCCACTCCACCAACACAGTTCTTGTCAAGTCTCCAGTGAAATTTCTAAGGCTAAATCTAAGTCTCAGTCCTCCCCTTGCTCAACCCATCAGGAGCACCTGATCAACCTCTTCCTGAAACATTTTCTTCTTTTGACTTCCGGGACCCCACTCTCTCTTATTCTCCTCCTACTTCAATGGCCCCTCTTCAATTAGTCTCTTCTCATCTCCTTGACGTGAAGGGTTGCAGTGCTCCAGGGCCCTGTTCTCAGACTTCTTTATCTATGCTCATTCCTTATGGGAGAGCCTATAGTCTCATGGATTTAAATACCATTTAAAAAAATAATGATTATCAAATGTACAGCTTTAGCCCAGATCTCTCCACAGACTGCAGATCACCTCATCCAACTACCTATCCACTCACAGGTCTAATAAATACCTCAAACTTACATGTCCAGTTTCAAACTCATGATTCATCCCCCACAGCTCCCAGAAATCTGCTCCTCTCATACCTTCCCTAGCTCAGTTAGTGAAAACTGCATACTTCCAAAATCCTGGGGTCATCGTGCCTCCTTCCTCTCATATACTTCACCCAATCCACAAGCAAATCTTGTCGACACTACCTCCACAGTGGCCCAAGCCACCGTGATCCCTCAAGATTACGGCAACAGGCTCCTACATGTAGCAGACACTTTTGCGCCCCATGCCACGATCTGTCAGCCTTCCAGACTTCAGCACACCTCCGGTGAACAGCTCCAGTCACCCTACCAGTGTCCCACTTCAAGCATACCTTGCAGTCTCAAAGTTTTTTGCTCCACAGTCTCAGTTTGTTTACTACAGCAACCTCAAAGTGCAAAGGAGGAGTTACTGCCTTCAAGGGCAACCTTCAACCAACTGGGGCAGGGATCAGTGGATACATGCACCAGCTCCCCACCCTTAGAGAGGGAGAGTGGGAGGGAGGAGAGGGAGAAGGAATGAGGAAACAATTTTGCTAACTGAACTCCTGCTTACAACCCTTGCTCCCCTACAGTCTATTCTCCAAACCTAAGTCAGAGCATGTTACTCCCCTGCTTAAAACCTTCCAGTAGCTCCTCACAGCCTTCTGGATAAAGTCCAAAATGGGACGTGTGTTCGGTGCTTCCCTTAGCACATGTGGTTATCCCTGTGAAGAGCACGCTTCCCACTCTATTATGACAGTCTGTTCCCTGCTCAGTGCCAACCTACAAGCTGAAGTCCAGGGGCTGTCCTTAGGGTAAAGCACAGTGTCTGGCAAATAACAGATTCTCAACAAATATTTATTATTGAATGAATAAATGTCCTTGGGATGCATGACGTGAGACAGTGCCAAGACAAAAATCACCTCCTGGCAACAGGAGGCTGATGAACCCCAGACAACTTCAGAAATGATACTTATCAACAATTTACTCTGAATGTTCCTATTATTCTCTCTGATCCTCAATTTCAAAGAGTAGATGTGGTTTTGTAGGCTATACAAATGTGAAGCATTTTTACACCATATCACCATGGCTGAGCTCCAAAATACAGACTCCTGACCTATTATAGTGAGCTTCTGATGTCTAATGGACATATAACATCACTATAAGCTGTTGGTGTATAACAGTCTAATAAAACTGTCAACTCCATAACAGCAAGGACAATATCTATTTTATTCACCACTATAGCCACAATGTCTAGCCCAATAAAAACTATTAATAGTACATTACCATGTTAAAGGTAATATTCCTTAGCAGGAACTCTTTCATTTCATCCTCTCAAAAAACCCAGTGAGTTAGGTACTATAATTACATTTTATAGACAAGGAAATAAGAAGACACTCTCTCGGTGATCTTCTACATTGCTTCTTAGTACCTGGCACCTAAGTTTTCAATGAATGAAAAATCAGTGTATAGCTCCCTCACTAAATACCTATAATGCTGAATACCTCAATGCTGTATCAGGGACCAGAATCTTCAGAGAATATAAACATACCTTTAAAAATAAAGATCAAATGTCAATATATTTCTTCTTCAGAAATGAGCAATGCATCATTTCATCTACTTCTGGCTGTTTCATTTCCCTCTTCTTTTCAAATCAATTTCCCTTACTCCAGAAGGCTTCCGTAAATTATTACTTTCAGGTTGCCACGGACAGAAGAAAAACACACTCTCACAGCATTGTTTCCACATACCGTTGAAGAGACACTCCCGAGCTTAATTGTTTCCACCGTGGTCCCTGAGTCTTCAACAGCTGTCTTCTTCTCCGGAGGCACAGATGTGCCAGGCTCTCCAGCTACTCTTTTATTTCCAATTCCTGACATCTTGGCACAAGATGATAGCTGTTTTCCTGAAGAGAAAAAAAAGACAGAAACTTAGGTAAGTTTTGCAAAGAGAACTAAAGAGGGTCCACCTATGAAGATGTAAAAACTAGCAGTTTTTCTGGCCAGTCCTTTAACCTGGATCCATCAATTCCACACTCAGCAACATGATCCTTAAGTTTCTCTTGGAAAGAGAAAAATTGTGGAGTAAGAGTCACAGCTGAATTTACGGAACTACAAATTTCTAAATAGGATGCTGCTAAGAAATAAGCCAATGGGCAAAGGGTGAAGAGACCAAGAAAAATTTCAGGAATCTCATTTCCTGAAATGTCAACATCTGAAAAGTTCAGTTTGATTAGAAAAGAAGTTAATTCTATAGTGTTGGGAGAATCAGAGAGCTGAAAGAGACCTGGGAGATGTCTACTAAATTATTAATACTGGACAAGTCATTTATCATCTCTGAGCCTCAAGTTCCTAAACCAGAAATAACAAAATATAAGCTTCCTATGCTCCTTATAAGGAATAAGTAAGTACAGAAAGAATTCTGCATAATGCCTAGCATGAAGTATGCACTCAGAAATGCTAGCTCTCCTTTATATATTTGCAGTTTCTTCTCTATATCCAAACGCTCTCCCCACGAGTTTGTGCAACCCTGTGGAAGCTAGACCTGGGTGTGAATCCCAGTTCTAACTTTTAGGGAGCCATGCTGCCTTGGAAGAGTGAGTTCTCTATATGCACAATGCAAGAGAACAGATATTCTGTCTGCCCTACTTGCCTCCCAAGGTTTCAGAGCTCATAGGAGGCGGAATAGATGCTAAAGCACTTTACTACTTCCATCAACGAGACTACACACTACTCTGCTTCCAATTCAAGCTCCAGGAGAAGGGTATCGGTGGCAGCAACCTGAGTGGGACCTCGCCTGGAGAGAGAGGAGCAGGACAAGGGCCTCAATCCTACTCGAGAGGGGCCAAGGACCCCAGCATCCGGATGGGCCAACTGCAGGCCCCGGAGAGGGAGGCCTGGGAGCGGGAGAGGGTGGAGATCCCGTTGCCTGCAGAGTCCCTCCCACCCTTGTCAGAGATCTAACCTGAGTTCTTCCAACTTGCGCCGCCCGGGAGCAGAACTCTGGGCAGTTATTCACCAAGGTCCGCGTAGCACTCCCACCTCTCACCCCTTACCCGCAAGCGAAGCCCAAGCGAGGCTCCCGGGAGGCGGGGCCAGGGAGAGGAAGAAGGGAAAGGAAAGAGGAAGTCGCTTCAACCTGGCGCAGTGGACCACAAGACCCAACCGGGCGGAAGTGACGCACTTCCAGGGCGCCCCGGCACAGAAGTAAGCGCCGTCTCTTTAGCAACGCTTGGGGACCCGGCGGCAGCTCAGATCTCCAGGTGTCCCGAGGCCTCGCTGACGCCGGAGAGGGTGCCCCTGCTTTTTTCTGTTTGTTGGCCATTGCTACTAAGACCTGCTTTTTCTACTGAGACGAAGTGCCTGTTAAAGTGCCTATTTTTTTGTTGCCTATTATTGGTTCTACCGAGACTCAATTGGTTCTCCTTAGACTGCCGATTGGCTGATGGCCCCGTCAATCTCCAGGGGAAAGAACTAGTTTTCAGACACCTGGGGAAAGTATTACTTCTAGCCCCTTCTTGCTGAAATGAAGGGTTCTGGAGAAAACCCAAGAGATTAGGTAGGTTTCGGAGCTTGTAGACTTTTCTTACAGGGAAATGTATAAAAGCTCTGTCTACACATAAGAGTCACTCGGGGAGTTCTGTACCCTCTAGGGTAGGGCCTGAGCATCCACACTTTTTAAAAAAGCATTTCCCCAGCCCTCCCGCACCCGCACAAGATTCTAATGTGCAAACGGGATTGACAGTTGCTTTTGTGCTTCTTTTGAAGCAGAAATTGAGCAGGGAAAAGATAAACGTAAATCAATAAGTAGTTTCTGATCTCAACATTAGCCTATTTTAAGCTAATTAAGCATTGATTTTTATAGTTAATAACAAACTGCTATTTCCCGCTGAATTAAACTAAATGTGTTTTAATGATAGGAAGGTAATCAATCTAATGTATTGATAAAAAGCTGTATGCCTCGCAGAGCTATGAAAAACTACCTAATAACGTCGGAACGTAAACAATGGGATACAAGTGTTCACTGTTCCTGGTACTATCACACTTTGCCTAGCCTAGAAAGAAGTAACCGGCTCCAAATGGACTTTACGTTTTGTTAGGTGAAGCAGAAGCCTGGGAACCGTGTTTGGGGACCCACCACGGAAAAGCATTGTATGAAATAATGACACTCTCTGACTTCCCTCCTTTGGCTGCTCTGCTCTGCTCTCGGCAGCCCTTGCATCCACAGAGCCACTGAATGGCAAGCAATGATTCTAGCCCAACGTTTGTAAACTTGAGGTTCACAGGCTGTATGTGGCCAACAGGTATGCTTTGCTTATTTTGGACGGTATCGGCTGCCTTCTATGGTTAAAAACAAAAACTGACTTAGTTGCCAACATTTAAAATAAGATATTTTACATAAAAATCCAGATTACCAACTTCTCTTGAAAATGTTGAAGATCTAGTAACACTGGGTTTATATTCTTGCATGGCCACATTGCCTAGAATTGGGTTGATCTTTTATTCCTGTTTGCTGTGATCACCACTATTCATTATCGATTCCCTGACACTAGTTGAATTTCATTTGAACATTATCACCTGTGTGTTGTATTGTGCTAAGTCAATCCCTGATACTAAGTGAACGTTGTTGATTGCCTACTCAGCATCCATTTCCCCTCTCACCTTCTTAATAGAACACAACCAGGATTTTATTCATATGATTAGTTATATCCATTTAGACCCGTTCATTCTATATGTCTTGAAAGAAGCTGACTTCACTTCCATCTCCAAGGATTGTCTTAATTTAAATAGTAAGTCCCATTCCCCAAGCCAAAGTCCTAGTCTAAACAGTGGATAGTTTAATCAGGGTGAATTGCTTGGAATACTAAGGCTGAAGCAGTTTACTTATCTTCTGAATTTCTTGTGAGGCCTGAAACTGTTGGAGCCTTCTTGCTACCCGGCTTGATAATGAAACCAACACAGAGATGAAAGAGAATCTCAGGGATGTTAAATAACAAAACTCTGAGTAAATATTAAAGATCTAATTAGCTTATTGAACGGTTCATGAATTGGGCAGCATCCCACTTAGCAAGTAGAGGGGAGCTCTGAAAGGCTATAGAAAGGGAGAGGTTTTTAAAGGTAAGACAAGGAAGGCAAAAACAAAACAAAACATAAAGATTATTTCAGGCTTAGATAATCTATCTATATGGGATGAAGGGGATCTATGTGCCAGGTTACCTCATCTTCCTTTTGGAGGATGGAAAGGATTACCTCCTCCATGGTACTGACTGGAAAATTCCACACTGACCAGTTAGGATTACATTCTTGGAGAAGGTTGTAACTGCAGTAAGGTCAGGTATTAAGTGTTCCTTTTAGCACAGGTGACTCCATCTTGGGCCTGTTATTTCTTTAACAGGGAATAGGCACCAGATCAACTCAGCTAGGACACCCCTACTCCACCCACACTTCAGAGTGCTGGAGAAGATATTGAGAAGAAAGCAGACCTTTGTAGAACCTTTCAATTCTCACCATGTAGATAACCAGATTCTCCAGCTACTGGTGAGATCTATCTTTTCCAAAAGCCACAGTCATCTGACACCTTCCCAATAGCCTGTCCTGATCCAAAGAGATAGCGTAACCCTAGAGATTTGGGGAAATGGAATAGAAGAAATGGAGGATGGCAGAGACCTCTTTCATTGACCATGCTTCCAGTTTCTGATCAGCTACCACATGGTCATGATCGTAATCAAGAGAAAAAAAGAATAACCCTGGAAAAATAATTTTGGCCCTCACTACTAAATGGCAGAACGTTTGCTGTGCTATAAGAATACTTGCTATTTTATACCACTTGTCTTCGAAAGTTCTAATTGCTTGTATCAACAACATTATAATTTAAGTAATATGGTAATAGTCCTTTTTTTAAAGGAGCAAACAGAGTCATAACGATTGCAAGTGATTTTTCCTAGTTGATGAATATTTCTCAAAGGACCCAAGTCTTAGACTTGCTGCCTGTCTTCGTTAAATATACAGTTCTGCACCAGGTGGCAGCAGGCAACATGCTTCCACCCCCAGTTCCTCTTGTAAAACTTTGCTTGCAGAGAGTACTGTACTTACATCAGGGTGGGGGTACAGAGCATAATTACAAAGGTGAGTTTTGGAATTTTCATTTCCAGCAGCACAGTATTTGTCACACTGGGCAAATATGAACTTAGGTTTTCATGGCCTGGAAGGGCAAGGTGGGGCAGGAGACAAAGCCCAGGAACTATCAAGGTTGGGTGCCTATTACAGGCCCCTCCCCAAAAGAGTAAACTAGATATAACTCTTCTAACATCCAAGGGACTGAAAGAAAATTGTCTGTCTCAAACCTTCATATAAAGATTTTTGTTGATTGATCAGCAATTCCAGAAGGCACTCAGAAAGAATTTCAAAGAATGCAGAGGGGTGAAGGAAGGATACAAAAAGGCCATGGGCAAAGCCAGATAGGAACAAGAGATTGTTCCTTATCAGAGTCTTCAGGAAATAGACTCTAAGATGGAGATTTGTGTGTGCAAGAGGTTTAATACCTAAGGGAAGTAAAGGAAGCAGGACTGGGGAGAAGGAGAAGTTGGACTGTGTTGCTTTCACAACAAAGGCCTCTACTGGTAGGATGGGTAGCTCTAGAACTGGGAAAGCCTTTCAGAGTTGCCCTGAATTGAGGCAAGGAGGCCAGGGTTTTATACCCCTACATCAGTCAGTCATTGGATGTGGATATTGGGTGGCCTGGGGAAGGGGGCAGGAGCTTGAACGAGGTGGCTTCCTTCAGCCAAGGGCAAACTCTGGAGGGGAACTCAACTCACTGCTGTCAACGTCCAACATTCCCAGCAGCTGGGGAAAATGAGTTCTTCAGTTCTAAAGAGGGGTGGCGAAGATGTTGGCAGCACACCATGGCATCCACTAGTTGAGCAAAGGATGGGGTAATCAGTGCTGGAGGTCCTAGAGCTATGAGAGTTGAAAGAATGTCACTTTAGTCTTCTAAGAGACACAGAGGTTGGGGTCTCCCACTTGACTTCTGCAAGTCTTTCTGCAAAAGAAAGTGTGGTGTCTTTGCTGAAAAGTGGTCTAACTCCTAGCATATAGGTACTTCCTTGATCCCAGCAGATGATGCTTTGTGTGGAGATTATTATATTTTACTCTGAAATTATGGCTCTGTTTTTATTCCTGCAGAGATAAAAATGGAAGAAGAGCGCATTTCCCAACACTTCCAATAACCCAGTGCTATGGACTGAATTGTGCACCCCTCAAACTCCTAGTGTGATGGTATGTGTTCCCCGGTGTGATGGTATTTGGAGATGGGGCCTACGGCAGGAGCAGGGAATCAAAACCATCTGTAAACTTTACAAACAAAATTCCATTGAGATTTTGATATAATGCATTACATTTATAGACTAATTTAGGGAGAAATGAACATTTTCTAGTATTTATTCTTTTCAACCAGGAACATATCATATCTCTCCATTTTCTCAAGTCTTCCTTTATGTTTCAGTAAAATTTCATGGTTTTCTTCTTATAACTCTTTCACATTACTTATTAGGTTTATATCTAGGTAGTCCATAGGCTTTGCTACTATTGAGAATAAGACTTTTTAAATTATATTTTCCGATTGTTTATAAGTGCTGTATAGGACAGTGCTATATTATATATGTATACGTGTGTGTGCGTATGCATATATATATATATATACACACACACATATATATATACGTATATATAGCTTTTGACTTATTATCTTACAAAACTCTCTTGTTGATTCTCTTGGATTCCTTTTCCTTTTTTTGGGTGGAGAACAGCCATATAATCTGCAAATAATAATAGTTGTCTTACTTCCTTTTCAATATGTATACTCCTTTTATCCCTTTTCTTATCTCATTATGTTTTGAAGAGAATGATGATACTGAAGATTCCCTCCCTCATGTTTTTTTTCCCCACCACATATATTTTCCCACCATGTTTGTTTTCAGTCCATGCCAATCACCTTACATACTGTCTTTCAGAAGTTGACAGCTGAATTTGCTTGTGTGATGTGACCCTCATTTATTAATCAACATGCCCCATCTGGGTCACCCATCTAAATCATATCTGTCTTTTAAGGCCCAATTCAAATCTCTATTCCTTTGATTAAGACTTTCCAGATCATGTCCCAGACTCTTGCTGCCGAAACTCACCAACTCTGACAATGAAGGTAGTGTTAAAACTTGAAATGCAATGCAAGAAGGAGGCATCCCCTAAGGAAGGCTGGCTGGTTAGCATAAAGATATCTCTCCAGGTGGTATGTAGGTGAAGTCACCTTATTTCCTATTCTGGGGCAAACACAAAACTGATTAGAGTTTTAGGACCCCCAAAGGTGATCAGGGAGTAAAGAAAACACTCATCCAAACTTCTATGTAATGTTCTAACAAAAATGTCCTTTTGTTAATTATTTCAACAAGACAAGAATTTTCATTCTCTGGCTATTAATTTCTCTTCTTGTAGCTGGTGTGTGCTTGAAGCCACATTTATAGATAATCAGAAGGCTACTTTGTGAACCTGGAATGAAAACAAGCAGGATTAGATGTATTATTTTTACAGTACATATCAAGAATGGCTGGCTAAATAATGATACAGCTTCACAATGGAAAACATATCTAAATTTATAGTGCTAATATGAAACACCATGACAATATGAATAGTATGCTCTCATTTTCATGAAAAAAAATTAAACCATATTTATAATTAAAATTTACTAAAAGAGTAGAACTTAAATGTTCTCACCACCCCCCAAAAAATTTTTTTTATAATGCAATAATCATTATCCCAGCCCAGGGTAATTGTGCTTGCTTGTTCAGTTCAACCCCTCTAAGCACAAATTTGGGGCAGTCAGGTTTCCAGGCACAACTCCCCGTCCCCGCCCTTGGAGTGTATAGGAGGCTCAAGAGAACCCACATGGACAGAGGTCAGGCATCTTCCCCAAAGCACAGTCAAGAGTTATGAGATGGATCGTTGAACTCCAAAGAATCTATATCATACCATATTCACATTTTGGGTAGGATCTTAATTTCAGCAAAACAACATCATGTGTCACATCAAATGTTGCTCAGGTGAAGCTTATTTGACTTTATTTATATTGAATTTGTAAACATGTTTTGGTTTTATACCTTAAGCATAAGGCATTTATACCAAGATTACGTTGATATATTTTTACCAAACATTATAATAAAAATAATTTATGTAAGCATTAGGTGGTCCATGAGAAGCTTATTTTCCTTTAGACAGGAATCTGTACATCACTTAAGTTTGAAAAATACTATTTATTATTTAATTGTATATATACGTCTTGTGTGGTTCATGATTATTACTTATTTCTAGTCTTTTTCATCTCTATCTTTTAAATGATTCTGAGATCAATAAAGGAGAATTGATATCAATATAACTGGCATAGTATATCAATTTAAATATTCATTGATTCTAACAAACTACATGTATTAAGATGTTACTCACATTCATTTGGATATATTCAGTTACGAATTTCTGGGACTTGAGGTCATGTGGCCAAACTTAGCTGAAAGGAGATCTTGTAGTAGTATTATCAATATATGGCCAGGACCCCATGGATGTTTAGAATCTTGCCTTATTGGCACTCCTTCTCCACCTCAGAGGAAGAATAAGGCTGACAACACTGATGACTAACTCCGTTACAGTTACTCCAGAGTTGTGAAGTTAGCCAAGACTCCCTCCAGCATCCCAGCTCTTGTAAAGTCCTCAAAGCTGTGTTCCTACTCCCGTCACCTCCGTGATACCTCAGCCAACTCTCTTCTCTCTTCTCCTTCTCAGAACATCAGGAAACACTCTGACCTTGCACATGCACATACTGACTATAGTGAATTTAAGCTGATGTGTTACCTGTCACAAGTGACTCATTCACATTTGCAGTTTGCTTGATCTTTACTGTGGGATGATGATAATATTTCCTGTTGGAGACATTTATAAAGCAGGAGACACATGATCTTATTTGGAGCAGGTGGGAGAGAGTTCAGATGACATCCCTTCCCTATTCTTCCTCCCAAGCATAGTCTGGTAGGTAACCTTTCCCCTTCATATGGATTAAGCTGTTATGCCTTACTTATTGAACTAAAACCTCTGTGAACAAAGAAAGAACAAAGGGTGTCACTTATCATCCAGTTATACAAAGGGTTAAGTCAAAACCCACTGCAGTTGCCCAACAACAGTGCACCCTGAAGGGAATCAAGATGGAAAAACAGGATGAAGCATTTTGTGCTTTGGAATGGGTCCCTAGATCGTTAAGTTAAGATAGTTAAGATAGTTAAGATGCGTATCTGAGGAAGAATTTCAAGCATCCCGGGTTCCTGCATCTTCCCATACACAGAAAAGCACTAAATTCATTAACTTGAGATATCTTTTCTTTGTGATTAGCAGTAATCTTTTACAAAGATATGTGCTTGACTACATGTATTTCCTAGCCCCCAAAATTTATATATATGCTGGCTCCTCCCCTACCTCTTTGGAGCCGTTCCTCAGAGCTGCTGCCCAGCCTCTCATCCTCAGCAAGTTCCCTCAGTAAAACTGAAACAACTTTTAGATTGTCTGTTTTTCTTTCAGTGGACAGTTTGGGTGACCATGAAGGGAACTGAGCAGATTCTCTTCTTCAGCTGAGCTCTATGAGGATCCAGAGCCTTGGTACCAGCAAGGGCCCCTTGTACCCATCTACCTCCTCAGGGAGTCCAGACACCTGGGTATATCTCTCCTGGGTCTCAGACCTCCCATATTGGTTGATAATCCTGAGTTTTATCTGGTGGTTGATAAACTCCTTGCTGTAAGGAGTAGGGTTTCCTTGAACTTTAGGCTGTTCAGGAAAGAGGTACCCTCTTTGGTTTGTTGACCAGTGAGAGAATTCTCTTTGGTCTCTGCCATCTGAAAGGTATGCATATGGTGTACATTTGGCAGCCAATCAAATACACTGGGATTCCAGACAGTCTCTTTGGCCATGCCAGCTCTCAGGAAAATTTGTCATAAGGGGTCCCAGTCCACAAGGGACCCTTTGTCATTTCAGTCTTCATTGCATCCACCTGTACAACAAAGACCTTTTACTTTCCAGACTTTTTTTGAAGGGGAGTAAACTTTCTAGATCTTGTAAGGGCTACATCCTTTGCACTCTCTTGTGGGGACACCTCTTGTGTGTTGTTGATTTGAGTTGCTATTAAGATCCTCTAGATGAGGGATGCTTTAAATTGTAATAAACTTATAAACTGGAAAATTTTTAGAGAGCTCTCATCATAAATAAGTGTTTATTGGTACCTATGTTAAGACCAAATTAAAAGGTGGATACAAAGACAAAATGGCTAACCTTAGGAACTCCCTTATTTTAAACAAACAAAATGGTTTGGGAAGACTTATTGAAATTGTGATCTCACCTTCCCCTCAATGGGTCTTACATATGTTAATAAAAAGATTAAGTTAATGCTAATTAGGTTAGTTGACAAGGGAATAAAAAGCTGAGAGGAAAGTCAAGAGACTCTTCCCAACAAGGTGGAAAATTTTAAAAGGACTTGTCCCAGCAGTTGATGGGATTAAAACAAAGGTTGGAATACAGCACTGCCTAAAGTTGGATGAGCCAAAAGGACCCCCTTTGGTCCTCCAACATTAAAGGGCCCCAAACAATTGATGAAATAAAATTCTTATTTTCTGGCAAGACAAGAAAAAATTAAACAAAGAATTTTTCTTTGCCCATTTGGGCCTCCTTCCCCTTTAGTGTGTGTTGTGCATCTGCTTTAACCAGACTTCCTGAGGAGATAACATTTCTTCTTAATTTCATCAAAGCTCACAATTCTTTAGGAGATAATTTTCCTTCTTAATCTTGTAAAGGGCTTGATGACCCATGACCCACTCCTTGCTTTGTACTTTCTTTAGATCTGGATTGTGTAAACTGTCAATAATACATCATTTAATGTACAACCCTCTGTCTCAAACACTTATGTAACTATGCTTTGAGCTTTCTGAGAACTGTTCTCAGGTTATAATCACCAATTTGGCTTGAATAAAATTTTCCATTTATTTTCTTAGATCAACTGATTAATTTTGTCATTGTTGTTGATACAAGTCTACTGTTTCACTTTAGAAAAATTTAAAATGCTGGAAGATAAAATTACACTGAGAAACCTGACCAGCAATTGCTTGGGGCAACAGTTAGGCCAATTAATGAAGTTAAAGATTGACAAATAGGCCTGGGTCCCTTGGCTCCACCCCTCACCAGAGACCGCAGAGCCTTTACACGCAGGCCCAGCGGCCGTGGCTCACTGGCGCAGCCGCTCCGCGGCATGTGGGATCTTCCCGGACCGGGGCACGAACCCGTGTCCCCTGCATCAGCAGGCGGACTCTCAACCACTGCGCCACCAGGGAAGCCCCCCAGAGCCTTTTTATACAGGAATAGATAAAATTGCCAGGGGATGAAAAAGTTTCCGGGGCTCCTTGTGAGACCAAGACTTTGTTAATGGGGTCCTAATGGATGCTAAGGTTAAGGGGGTAAGAGTTAATAGAATTGAGATGAAGTTTATAAGAAAGTTGGTTTATTTGAATGGTTTTATATAAGACGGGTGCATCTCTTTTGGTTGATTATATTGTGGAGATAGACATTATGTCTCAACTGTTGAATGCTCTCCCCACCTGCTATGATAAAACAGGGCATATAAATCTGCCCCCCAGGCAATGTTAATTTAACATAATAAAGGGGAACCAGTAGGGTTACTGGAGCCCACACAGTATGAGGTAAAAACTGGGGCTAATATTCAGGGCTAATAAAAACAGTAATGGAGACTCTTTTGCCTCTAGGGTTAATTGGTCTGGGTTTGACTTGTGTCCCTTGGAAGAGGGCCTTTGTTGAATGCCTTGTGCAAACTTTTGAAAGCATGATACATTGAACCTTAGAGTTCCAGAACATGGAACTCTTTTGATTTCCAGTTTAGTGGGAAATCTTCTCATGGATATAAGGAAGCAAAAATTTTTTAAATATAGTTGTGTAATAGGGAAGAACCTTTGTAATCTATTACAAGTTAATCACTAAAGGGATGTTGCCTATAAGTTAAATTATACATAATGGAACATCTCTGGGAACCCTGCTTCCCAGGTAATGAGCATTAAGCTAAAATACCTTTGTTTAGTTCACAGGAAACATCCTGACCAGGCCCACCTGTGAATGACTGCAGGAAGGAAGAAATTAACACATCCCCTCTGGAAGCTGACCAGAAGCAGGAAATGTTTGACTTTACTGCCTCCCCTTTTAGTGTAAAAGAAGCCTGAATTCTAATTATGGCAAGATGGTTCTTTGGGACATGAGTCTACCATTTTCTTAGTCTACCAGTTTTCCAAATAATGTTGCTATTCTTTGCCCGAACATCTCGTCTCTCAACTGATTGGTCTGTCATGTGGTGAGCAGTATGAGTTTGGACTCGGTAAGATTTGGGCAAGTCAATCTTTTGATATCGTTTAGGCAGCACCCCAGTTCTTTGGGAAATTGAAAGCAACTGTCTTTGTCTTGCAAGTATTTGCAAGATCAGAAATATAAACACAGCCCAAAATGGCCTGAGACTGAGCCTAGTTAACTCAATCAGGTAGAACCTGAAATCTAAAGGGAGGAAAAAAAGGAGGGAAAGAAGCCTTTTTAAAAGTAAAAACTACTGGCACCCAGACATATTGTAATTATTCCATTTGTATGAAATATCCAGAATAGGCATATCCATAGAAAGCTCATTAGCAGTTGCCAGGGACTGAGTGGGAAATGGAAAGCAATTGCTAATGGATACAGGGTTTCTTCTTGGGGTGATAGAACTAGTGGTGATGATTGTACACCTCTGTGAAAAACCACTGAAATGTACACTTTAAAAGGGTGAATTTTATGGCATGTGAGTTATATCTCAATAAAAATTACAGCATTCATGAGAAAAAAGATGTTTTGTATATATATATATATATATTTACAATGGAATACTACTCAGCTATAAAAAGATGAGATCTTGCCATTTGCTATGACATGGATAGACCTTGAGGATATTAGGCTAAGTGAAATAAATCAGACAGAGAACAACAAATACCGTATGATTTCACTCATATGTGGAATATTTAAAAAGTAATATAAAACCAAACCAAACAAAAACAAACTCATAGATAACGAGGCCAAAGTACTGGTCACCAGAGGGAGAGTGAAATGGGTAAAGGGGACCAACTGTATGGTGATGGATGGAAAGAAAACTTTTGGTGGTAGGTGCACTGTAAGTGTATACAAAAGTTGAAACATAATGTTGTACACATAAAACTTCTATTATGTTATAAACCAATGTTCAATTTTAAAAAATCTTTCTGAGGTCTTTAAAAAAATAAATTATGTTTGATGACATGTCTATGTAGTTTCTCCAAATCTTTTTGGTAATTTAAAACTTTAGAGTATTTCTAAAGTAAGCTAAATGATGGAAGTTTATTGAATATCCAGATCATTTCCAAATAAGATAGAATAATTAATTGTTGAGCATGTCTAAGTTAAGCATAGTTAATTAATTGTTGAGCATGTCTAAGTTTAACTACTTTTATCTTCTTATAAGATTAAGAAGCCAAAGATGTTTGGGTTTATCCCATACATCTTGTACCACATTAAGGAGAGAAATTATGCTATGAGAAAATCTGTGTTTCTAGAGGTTGTGGAGTATGTTCATAAGTTTTCCAATCAGGAAATGCTAGTATGACAGTTCACAATTGCTTGCTTCTTGGTTTTCTCTAGAGATTAGGGGTTTTAAGAATACAATTAATACATATAATTGGGACTACTAAAATTAATAAGGAAAACATCTTCATATGCAACAGAAAAAAAGAGTTTAAGGATCGTAAATGCATTTTGTTAAGGGAAAAGAAAGTAATTTTTTCCTAAGAGAAGTTAAAAAATAGAGAAAAGGGGAAAGCATGGGACAAAATCTGAAGGTAAAAAAGGAAGTTACAGGTTTGTGGAACAGAATCCCTGAGAAAAGAGTTTTGTATGTGATCAGGACTGGCTAACACTGGAATAAATTTAATTGAGTGAATAAGTTTTAATATTAAAAGTAAGCTGGTACAAAAGTAGAGTCTGGTTTTCTCTCTGTTAATAGGACAAAGTTTTCTTGCAGTATTGATCTGCTTTTGATAATAGATTGTAAAGTTTCTTTACCTTTTAAGTTCCCTTTCATAACTTTCTGTAGTTTACCTTTGAAATCTTTTAGTGTCACTTTGGTTAAATAATTAACTGAGTATTGTTTCACAGTGACTGTGATTCTGTTTGACCAAGTGTTTCCAAGTGTTTTAAAACCTTTTGATATCTTTGACAAACCCCCCAAATCAATTCTGAATGAAGTCCTTTTGACCTCTAGCTAACTTTGGGGTGTTTCAGAGGTTCCCTGAAACATCTCAAAGAGAGGTATTAAACTAATGAGGCTTATTTTGGTATGTTGAATTATGTCGGAAGCATTGTCAAATGAGTGATGATAAATTTTCTTAGATTATATTGTATGGGCAAATATTATTAATATAAATGTTCTAGAAGTTATATGAAATTCCTAAAAATCAGATATGTGTTGGTATGTTGTCAGTCATAATTCTGGTTATTATCTTAAAATTTTGTATGTCACAGAAATATCAAAATTTCCTTTTCAATTGCGTTGTAGTCATGTCTTTAACCATGCCATTCAAAGTCTTTTGTCATTTACAGACAGTTATTGTTTTACTCTGATGTCTTTACAAAGATGAAACTCTTCAAGAAGATTAATAAAAAGGACTTTTTGACAAGAGCAGGTTTCTGATAACTTTTAGATAATACCACTGAACTGGGTAAGAAATTCCAGAACACTAATAGAAAAACTTTATGAGTTCATAAACTGTTAACGGAAATCATGATCAACAAGAATTAGTTACAAAGGGCTGAATGATCATTTTTATGACTTTCTGTCTGAAATACTACTGTCTTTTAATCTTCCTTTTCCAGATATAAGGAAAATTTCCCGCTTAAGCTAACTATAACTTGGAGCAGTTTGGTAAATTACCCCTTTGTAAGCAGAATTGAAACATTTGTCTTTTTCTCTGTAACATCTCTCCAGAATTTGAAATTATTAGTGAGTATACTTATTTTTATGGCAGTATAGTTATTTGCATAAGTTCAATAAAAATGTGTTCTTCTTATAACAGGACACAAACGGGAACATTGGTTATATTACCAAGGCTTTGACTGGAATGTCATGTTTGAGAATTACATAGAATCAGATATAACCAGACAGCTTTAAAGAACTAAGATGGACTTTATGGAGCCATTTCCTTAGGAAAAAAACAGTCTGATACCTTGCTTACAGAGTTCCCAGCAACCTTACCAGGTGACTAAGAAAGGTCACTTCCTGGCAGGTGTAAGAACCTAAAGATATTTTGGGGGCCTTGAGAAGAAAGGAATTCACCCAACTCTATAAGTATTACAGTCAAATCTCATGGTGAGTCCTTGGAATGACGTTCCTGGCTTCAGGAGTCTTTCAACAGTCAATCTGAGATTCCTTATAAAAAGTTCTATTGAAGTAAATTTACAGAAGCCTACATGATCAATTGCCATTCTTGTTACACTTATGTAAATAATCAGGTCAAACTTACTGAAACCAAACTTATTTTGCAAATAAATTAGTCTTAATTTGTCTATGTTTGGTGGGAATTAAAGTAATTTTAGAGAAAAAAATATGTTTTAGTGGATATTAAGGTCTAGTGCTGTAATTGTATTTCAGGTTAGGTAATTACAGCCTAAACTCACTTCCTAGATGGCTCCTTATCGCTGTATTGCATTATAGCAAAGTTTAACTGAATTATTAAAAGGACATTATAAGTCTGTTTCTGGAGTTTATCAAAGAGAGAAATACCTTTGGATGAAGATCAGATACCCCATAACCTACAACCAGGAGATTATATATACTGGAAAAGACATCATTTAAAGGACTCTCTCCAGCATAGATGGGAAGGCCCTTATCATGTATTCTTTTTTTTTTTTTTTTTTTTTTTTTTTTTGCGGTACGTGGGCCTCTCACTGTTGTGGCCTCTCCTGTTGCGGAGCACAGGCTTCGGACGCGCAGGCCCAGTTGCCATGGCTCACGGGCCTAGCTGCTCCGTGGCACGTGGGATCTTCCCGAACCGGGGCACAAACCCGTGTCCCACTGCATCGGCAGGCGGACTCTCAACCACTGCACCACCAGGGAAGCCCTCCCCTTCCCTTTTCATCTGTGAATGAGAAGGACATGCCTTGGGCATCCTAGTCCATTAATAGGGGGACCATAGAAGACCAATTGGATACCATAGCCAACTAGACCCTGTTGCTAGAGAACTCCCCCTTTACGAGCTTTCTCTGCTACTGCCCTCCAACTCAAAGCAACCAAAGAAATTGCCATGGGTTCCCCTTTAAGAATCTATGTGCCACATTCAGTAGAAGCACTTTTTAAAATATTGAAGTATAGTTGATTTACAATATTGTGTTAGTTAAAGGTGTACACCAAAGTGATTCAGTTATATATATATATATTTTTTTTCAGATTATTTTCCATTGTAGGTTATTACAAGATACTGAATAAAGTTCCCTTTGCTACACATTAAATGCTTGCCACTTATCAATTTTATGTACAGTAGTCAGTAGAAACACTTTTAAACTTTCACACACTCAACATCTTTCTGCTAGTAGATGCACATCTTAGGAGATTTTGTTACTGACCCCTTTGAGTCAGGTCCCAACAGGTGTTCTCCGGCCGGCAATTGAACAAGACCAAGGAAAGCTTGAATCTGATCAAAGAATGGAGGGTGTGAGCTTGTGCTCTAGAGCACAGACTCTCCCCCATCTCCACAGGCCATGGACAGAGCTGCTTTACTGGGTTCCCAACAGCGGGGCGGAAGTGGAGTCCTCACCTGTCCCGTGAAGCTGCTCTGCTCATGCTCCACTTCACAGCGCGAGGAGCATCTCTGCACACCACCTGCCGCCGCCATCTTGAATTGAGTGTCGTGCGCAGCTGCTGCACATGGTCCTGAGCTGAAGTGTTGGGCAGCCATTTCTCACTCGGAACTGTGGTCTGAAGTGCTGGGTGTGAGGCCTCTACACGCAGCACCTTATGAGCAAGGGAAACTAGACTAAGCACAAAGGAAAAGAAAAAAAAGGTTAGATTTTATTTAATTACCCAGATT